AACTTCCCGCACACAAATGCTACAAGACATACAGCACAAAGAACATATAACTGAGCTAGGTGCGAAGCACTAATAGACTGCTGAATAATGTATGCGGAAAAAATAGAATGAAGTCACCGTAGCACCCCGTTAAAAGGAATTAAAAGTGCACAGAAATCATAAGAGTATTTGTTACTAATATGACATCCAGCACATTAACTAGCATAACACTCAAAAACAACTGCCAGAGGCGTCACGTGGATTTACGTTGTTTACCATTATCAAATCCCCAGAACATCATCGGACGTAGATAACATAGCAGGTCTGAAGATGAATTATGACTGTGAAAACTTAATGTCATGTTGAACTTACCCTTAAGTATGTCGCTAACATCACCTTACCTTGTGGCGAAATCCAGAGTACTCAATTGGAGATCAACAAAATGTAAAGGACTTCAATAAAATTAGTCGTCATTACACTCAATTTTGACGGTGAACTGTTGGGAAGTCTATGTATCTGAATAGTTGTGTGCGTACTGATCAGAATGTGATGAATAAGGCTTTTAACGATGTACCAAAAGTGAGAGTGGTATACACCACTGTAGGTCAACTTTGGCATCATCATAATGTCAGCTTAGCGGGAAGGTAAAATTTACCAAGATATAAAAGGATATTTCTAAGTTACACCTGAGACCTGTTCGCCTCCAAACGAGTATGCTGGACAGTTTTGTGTTCGAGCAGTACTGTCTCTGCACGACTGTTCACAATCAGTGGGAACATTATGTACCAAATTTCAGCTTACAAATTACATAAACTTCATATCTTAGTACTGTCTTGAATACAAAGAAAAAAACTGAGACTAAATAAAACAATCAACGTAAAAACTCCCACACAGGTGCATGACCCCAAGTAGCCACAAATCGCAGTAGCACACAAAGAAGAGGTGCATATGAAGAGAGTGATATCAAAGTAGATAAAGTTGTGCGAGTTAATAGTTTGAAGATAATAGTTAGTAAAAAATCCAAGCCTTAGAAGACGTTGAGGAATGAATATATCTGCGCCATTGTGACCGATTTCCAGCCACGTTACCAAGAGTTATAAACCGTTGATTCCTGTCATCTCGGATACTCCAGCCAAACAGTCCACACCTCCCTACACAGCTCAGACCAATAGTGAAAGACTTCATGCACTGGTACCACGTCTTGGTTTGGCCACCCTCAGGCCTATTCAAACCGAAACCAACTACCCCTAACATGGAAGGTCGAGGTAAAGGGTGACTCAGCATGCGCGAAACATCTTTAGGCGACCTCAGACGATGGAGGTTTACAACCTCATCAGCCGAACTGCCTAGTACCCTTCACCTGATCTCAACATTCCTCAAAGCGTGATTACACCAAACGTGAATAATGCTACAAAGACAGATATCTGTGATGAAAACTCTCTAGTGGCTTCACATCTAATTTTAACGGCCATCTTACAGCAGTATAACAGGACAAAGCGAACGGCAGAGCAGTATACTCGTCCTCTGATTGACAGTCAGATATCTCGCCAGTCGACAACAAAGATCATGAAAGATGACAAATGACAAACGAGCTTTCTGTATCCGAGCTGAAACTTCACCAGCAAACAGCCGGTTCGGGGTGATGTAACTCACGAAGTGAAGTGGCCTACACATTCCACCAAATCACTCTATATCATAAGCCTCGCAAGTGTCGGCCACTGGCCGGTAGGTATACGTGTTCTAGGTTAAAACTATGTACGATGCACCCTCACCCAGTTCTAGAATCACCGTGAATTTTTTCATTTTGCTGTTCTCGAGTTCCACTCAGGCATCAAATAACTATGAATCTCAAAAACTATATTAGTCAAACTAATTCCCCAATGCTTGTCATAGGTAGATCTCTCTCTTCCTATTGACTCGGATAATCGGAGAAGTATACCAGTGTGATGAACCTATCTCTGACTCCCATACACTACCTAATACCTCTGTTGCTTCAACTGGCGATTTCCTACCTGCATCCTTGAAAACCTCGGGTGGCAAACAGTCAGGTCCTGATGCTCTCCATCGCTTCAGGTTCGAAACGCCATCCTCAATTTCAAGGAGAGTTGGAGGACCGACATCTATGTACTACTCAGGTTCAAGCTGGCTACTTGCTGAGGGCTAACTGGACTATGCTTCAAAGTGTTCCGACCACCTGTCCTAGGAGATTATCAGCATCCCATTGTTTTCTATGATGGTTTCACTAACCATTGTCTTCTTCTAGGCGGTATCCCTAATAAGTCTAAACAGTTGCTGCGTGTTACCCAACCGTGATGCCTGCTCCGTCTCTCTTTCCACCCATCACTGCTCGTGTTCGACGCAAAGGCTCTTGGTCAACTTACGTTTGAGTTGCTTTCGCTTTTCGTCATGGTCAAAGGCCGCTGGGATCAGTCTTCTTGCACAAGTCAGTTCGGATGACGTCGTGGAAATCCAGTGACGTTTGATAACCTTCGGGCGTAGCTTACCAATTGTCTTTACCGCAGTTCCTACAGTACACGTAATATAACCCCAGGTTTCCTCATGATGAGCATTGCTGCCATGTTCAGATAAGTGCATGGCTAACTGCACTCTGAATGTATACTCGGCGTCCTAATCTATCAATCGAGCACATATTCGCCTTACTACTTCCTGTCTCCTACAACTGGTAAGGCGCGGACATATACGAGACCCTCCACTCGCGTGATCGTAGTTCAAATTAGTATTCCTGAATGAGTGGCAATCCTCTACACATCCTATCCAACGATAGCTTACAGAAATATGATCTCTATATCCGTTGTTGGTTTACTGTTGGAGAACGCCTAGCGAAACAGTAGCTCGCTCTCTTTATGTTCAAAGTTAGTGCTTGCAAGGAGAAGTGGTTGTCGGAATAAATTGCAACGGACTATCACCGTTATCGGTTCGCTCGCATAGGATTCCGTAAATACACAGAGGATACCTTTGCAATTACCTCAGCTCAGCTTCCCTACTTCAGCGTCAAAGTCACCTACCACTGTAACTACATCTGAACGTTTTATTCTCTGTAGCAAGGTTGACACCTTCTCATAGAACTCAGACTTTCCATCACCCGAACTGCGATCGGTGGGTGCATACGTAAAGATTACGAATGGGCATCCCTTAGTCTCACAATCCTTCCTAGTCCTTACATATCCGTTCAGTCGAACAGCACATGGACGTCTGTTGCCTGGTATTCAGTGGAGAAGCTCACTTTCTACCCTGCGGCTCAATGTTATGCCTACACCAGCGAGTTCACGACAGCTAGCCAGTGGCTCTCCAGACGCTCTTAAGGTGAATTTTGAAGATCCCACCACACTGGTCAGATGAGGTCAGTTTAATAACCACACTCGCGTCCTGTATACCTGTCTCAGAAACACAGCACGGCTCGGGAATCTACAGTTTTGGCGAGCGATGATTACCGAACATTTCAGCATAGAGTCCGGATGTTGAAAGTTCCTACATGAGACTAGAGATCAGGTTTCGAAGGCTGGTCGCAGAATGAGAGGTTAGAGAAGGTAAATAAGTCTTAATATTAGTAACGGAAGGTGAAGGCAAAAGAGGAAGGAGACAGAGTCGAGGAAGATATGTTATGTTTGACTGGGTCTTGCATACTCCTGGAAGCTTGTGGGCGGTTGACACTTCGCGGCTGACCACACCTTGGAAGGTAATTTCTTTTTAAGGTACTTGAAAGATTTGTGTGACCACAGAACCCATCGGACATCTGCTTGACACGGGTCACACACTGCTTTTTACCAAGTTTGGGATTTCGACTTTTTCCTTTCGAACCTGACTACAGTCCATATTGCAGGCATCAGCATGCCGAGAAGGGGTTGGGAGTGTGCTACTTTTGGGGTCGATCTCTTCTAATCTTCCCTTCCCATAGGGAAGGCAGCATCAACGTAGGACTGCTGGTCGTTCAGGGGAAACACCTTACTGCCGTCATTCCCTATACGGCTTGCAGCAGTATGGCTTTTCCCTGAGTGTAGTAATTTACGCAACGGTAACTGCTTGTCGTTTAATCACTATGCAACAGAACTTTGTTGCATAGTGGGACCTCGAGAGAACAAGCGTTCTAGTCAATGTAGCTCGTTGGGTTATAGTGATACGCAAGTCTGACCACCACGTCAAGGTAGCAGCTATCGGTCGAGTAAAGAGACATAACTGATGTAATGTTCAATTTTTTAGCAAAATTCGATGATTACTAGTCACTCTAAAGTGAACAATTTTAAAGTATACCACAGTTAATCGGTTGAAATCGAGGAGTAAAAAAATAAAATTTGGCACAACGACCCAGAAACGCAACTACCAAACAATGAACCCTTAGTTCAAAACCGATCCATATGAATATATGTCGACAAGTAGGTAACTGTTGCATAACCCTAAAAACAAAATGTGGCACACAATCTAATTTGGAAAACCTGAGCAGAGTTGTTTAGTTGCATTAACTTATATTCGACATCAAAGTTTTATTCCAACCATTAAGTTCACCCGCAAAGGACACTTTATGTAGTCTAAATGTCAAATAGAAAAAAGTTCACAAAAAGTGGATACCTTATATGTAATGTTTACCTGCAACTCTTGACTTCATTAAATGCACTCTACTGAATAACTGGAATACTAAACATTACAAGTTTATTAAAATAACCTAATGAGCAAATAGGAAGATACAGAAAATTGAATCAATATGAAGAGTACATTTTCGTAAATTTAGGAATAAAGATGTGAAGAAATAAATATTACAACACTTCTATACACCGAAAAGATGAAATAATAAAGACGATAAAATCACTTAGTCGGATAAGAACATGTTGAAATCCTGGTGAATATAATAAATAATAAAGAATACACTGGAACAGGGACTTTTACAAGGCCTTCAGTAGTAATATCCGTTTAACTGATGCATTAAGTCAAAGTAAATAGAGCAATCACTCTCAAAAGATTCTCTTCTAATGACATGAATTTGAACAACGGTAAGACAACTTTATGGTTTAATGCGTATTTGAAGAAGAAGTGATGATACCGGGACTCGGACGATCAGTTTCTGCAGATGAACTAGTTGTAGTTGAATGGAGGTTTTTCTTCAAATTTGAGGAGGCCCCATTACTTAAACCATTATGTGAATGCATATCCAAAGTCAACTCAAGCCATGGACGACGACCGAAACGACGAAGCTCAGATAACGACAAAAGTTTACGTCGAGACCTTCTGTGTTTAGGAAAACAAAAGTAAATCAAACCAACTTACAATAATAAAAACTGAAAATGGAATTATAGCATCATAATTAAAAAGTAAAAATGTATGGATGATAATTTATCACAGTCCTATGAACAAAAACAATAACGATAGACCACCAAAGAGGGAGGTGAAGCGAAGTAAACTAAATTAAGAGGATATCAAGAAATCCAGTACAGTTTAGGCTCATAATCCCACTTGTGATTTATCCTACTAGTAATGTTATTAATGATGATAAAAATAATATCTAAACTATGATAATAACTCCAACACCTATAAGACGCTCCACAGACTACATTTGGATAAAAAGTTATCTAACAAAGATATCAAAAAGCAGCTCTATCAAGTGCCTTCTATGCAAGAGTTTACAGAAAATGTTAGGAGTCAAAATGACTAACAGGAATTCCAAGTAATCACCATCTATAATCTTACGAAATACAGTGGTTAACATGTCAACACATGACGTAATAGACTTTTTCTTAAATTAAAACACCAAGAAACCTAAAGTGCCCTGTTAAAAAAACGCTAAACATTAGAATAAAGTCAGACAAAAACAGTAATTCTTTTTACTGGATGCATACGACGGCCTCTCATTGCGATCACATCAATGTGGTGGAATAACTGTCCAATGAACTGGACGTTCTTGGTGAACAGATTTAGAAGCTCCCTCAACTCGTTTGTTGGGATAGGGATATTATCAGCTTTTCGACAAATAAACTCAATGGTTTCATCGACTGCTACATTTGTGAAAAGAGATGCAACATAGAATTAAACGAGATGCTTACCAGTGGTACTGAAATCGGTGATGCTTCGAACAAATTGATAGGTGTCAGAAATTGTGTTCTCCAAGGCGTTTGTGCAGATCAGATGCAACTGTACCAACGTTACACGAACGATATATTCACTATATGTAATAGCGAAATGGAAGTAGAAGCACCACTAAAGAGCTTCAATTCATATCACCAAACCTGACCCTTACGATTGAGCACGAGGAGAATAATATGATTAGTTTCTTAGATGTTTCATTAGTGAAAAGAATCGATGGCTCTATCGAAAGGTCCATCTATAGAAAACCTTCATGGACAGGATAGTACCTTCATTTTATGAACTTTGTCTACATCAATTCGAATGTACCTGCAGAAGCAAATACAGTGGTCGAACGAAGAGGCATCTGTTTACCCGAATGGTTGAGCACCCACCCAAATGCCTGAAGCATCCCCAAAAGAAGACCCCGAGGAACACCTAATGGGATATGGGCATGGATATTGATTCCTGTAAGTCCTTTAAGGTTATCAGTAGACAGTAGGACAAATTGCTTGGAATTACGGAAGCCTGCGCGATTCGAGTTGTCAAACTAAACCTCTGTATTCAGAAGGAAATAGCAGTCAGGTTGAATCTGCCATGGTAAGAATTACGTTACCTAATCATATTCAATCTTTCGCAATTAATTATCACCCATCTTATAATTTGTTTTCCTTCCTTGATTTGTTTCACCTGATTAACCTTATTCCTATTACCATTGTTATCATTCTTAATCATCTCAATATACACCTGGTTTTCATGTTATGTCTGTTTAAGTACTATGAATTATCTCATTTTGAACGACTTGGTCTACGGTCAATCCATTCGATTCTCATCCCTGTGTCAACATTATTATCATTAGTTTCCTACCTGAAATCCACTATTATCCAAACTCAGTTAATCATGTAACCTATTCCCAAGCCATTCAATTTTGAACATCTATTTCTATCCTTTGCTTTACCACTTGACCTGAAAAACTGTTCATTTCTATGTTGTTTCACCCAAGTCTGTCTCAGTCTACGTTATATATGTATGTTCTTTTGCATAGTATAACGGTATATATAATCAAGTATGTAGAGTATCCAGTCAACGAGTACTACTGAAATTTACGAATTCATTAAATCCTACTTTTTCACATTCGTTGCTTGTTTTTCAAGCAATAGGTTGGGAGTTTAAATCCCCCTTGGCCAACTTTGGTCTAACCAACGGGGTAGTACATCATAAGCTCTCCTACATGAGAAATGACTTGTAAGTCAGTATATAAACCAGAACATATTGATTTGGTATTGTACAAAAATGGATGTATGCGCAAGTGCATATGTGGAAATGTCAATAGAAAACTCAACAATACAAAAGCATAAAGATAGTAATTATTAGTTGACGTAATAGACACACTATAAACCACGGAGAAGCAGAAAAGAGACGGAATGAAAGGGTTCGAACACTCACTGTGCTCTCAACTACTATATAAGTATAAGGTAGAACCAATAAAATGCATCACTGAGTAATTTTACATTTACATTTTGTGAGCATAAGTCACAAAACTGCAAACGAATGACTAGTATAAAGTTAATCAACCAAACTATCACGAATATTATTGAACAGCGTAAGGGGACAATAATTATGTTTACGAATGTACAAGCAAGAAAGCACACTCACTTAATTGCTTGCGTTGCACGATACATCAAAGTTGAGGCTCCATCTACATCTGAACCAACAGTATAACGTCGCTTTGGACCCAAATTTATACTTCCGTGATTAGTTGATATAACCTCAAGGGTAGAAGAATCATCTGGAATGACCAAATTGGGTTTCTTCGAAGAAATAATTCCCACATCTGAAAATTTGTAAGTTCACATGTTAATTCGATCAAAATTTACGTGGGAAATGGGCGGAAATTTTTTGAGATGAGCACCAAGCAATTTTTCAATACAACGAGGAACTTTAATTAGCCGGAAGTATATTGAAAGTTTTCTTCACTAAATCACGGGAATAATAACCGATAACCAGTGTGATCAATCGCCAGAGACAAGAAAGTATATTCTAGATATTCACCTTCATCTACACAATATGTTGATTCGATAAATAAAATTATTGTGTACAACCCATACGGATGAAACAAAAGGGATAGATAAACAAACCCATAGCTGGGATCGATAACGAACTGCCTCGCTAAAATACTTTAGGCAATAATGAGCTTTTTAATTCGAATGTTATGGGAGGAAAAGCTGACGAAAACATCCTGTACTCGGTCATTTAAGACAACCAATACAATAAAACAGAATTCCGACAATGTGTATCATTAATCCAGCGGAATAAGGCAGTCGGGAAAAGGTAACTTGACTTCAGGCGTTATTAACAATCAAAACGAAGTATTTTGAGCATTCCTGGTGACGCTTTATCCCTTTAAAATAAGTTAACAAACCAATTTTCCGAAAATACTAAATACATACGACATCAAAATCAGTTGGATTTTCATTCCACTTCCGCAGAACTCGAAAGCACTCAAAGTGTAGCTAATAATCTACCGTCTGCAGGCATGTGTTACTACTAACAGTAGGATTTGGCATCATCGTTAATCAGGTTGTAGCTGTTTTCATTTGAAGTTGAAATACAAGTCATAACAATACCACTCAGTTTAAATGCTGAATAAAGTGCCTTGAAAATATCAAGCAGTGTACAGTCAATCATAACCTTTTACACTACTGAATGCGCAAACGCTTTAATACACAGTTCCACCGCACCAGGAGTGACTACAACATCAGGAAAAGGAGTACTCATAGGAAATTCTTTAGAAAAATTTGATTTATAACAGAAATATACTAAGGAGAGTCTGGGTGTTAATCTGCACTTGCCATTACTTTAATCTAGTGACAAGAATTAGGCAAAGGATACTTGTCTTCCTTTTTATCCAACTCTATTGAGGATCATAGCATAGAAATAGTTCAAAAAGAAGCATATGGGGTAGCAAAATAAGTTTCTTAATTATAAATCAGTTAAGGATAAATTCATGCAATTCTGTTTCGATACACAAGATGTACAGAAAGCATCCAGCCTGTGAGCATTTATTATTATTAAGTAGAGGAAATAATTTCTGCTATCATAGTGCACAATGAAATCGTGATGATATCAGGACCTCAATGAATATACGAAAAGTTGTTGTTATATTACAGGACTGGTTCAAGGAAGTCATGTATCACTAAGTAAAATGTTCACTAGGCAGTTGGCGTTAATTTGAATTTCACGATAAAAAACCCATTGATTAGATGGATTAAAAGTTCACTATTAAATAACGAAATACTTCAAATTTGCTTACATGGTCTAAGAACATTTACTCCAAGGACTAGAGGGAACGATTGCAACAACTCAACACTGGCTTAAGTCTATCAAATGCTGAATTAACTGAAATCAGAGAAATTTTAGATTTTTAATCAGGCGCATATGTTGTTGTCCAGCAAAAACGAGTGAGCACATTTTAATGAACAAATTAAAACGTGGTATACTTCTTGTATGGATGTCAATCCAGTTTTTAATTCACTGCTTACAGTAATCTAAAAGCTTACAACTTTCGCAAAAACAATGATAACCAATAGAGCTAAATTTGGCAATGAATATCAATAATTTTCCATATGTATCTATTAGTGAGCTAAAATATATTGACGAGGTCTATATGCATAATTAAGCGAAATTTCGATGCTTCCAGAGATATCTGAATGTAATAAAATAATTTCGATAGTTTTAAGAAATGTAAAGCAAAAGAAATACGTCTTCAAAGAAAACAAAATTGTACCAATAAAATCACCTGAATGCTCATCATTTTGAGGAACAGAAGCAGGACGTTTGAGATTGCTTGTAACATCTGAAGCCACCAGACCGTTTACAGCTAGGTCAAGAGCAGTTTCTGGTACAGTATGTGCTGGCCTTAATTTTAAAAATGAAACAGACATTCAGTGAACTAAAACACGATGATAAATGCAAAAAAAATTAGAAATTTATAAGAAAATTAAAATTCCCTAAAATGTTCACGACCACAGAAATTTTGTCCTTAAGAACACCATGTAAAATAAACAGGAAATGAGAAACCAAGAGACTAGTACTCGAAAAGACTCCTAGAAAAAGTTTAGCATGGCGAATCCTTAAAACGATAAATAACCATAAGCAAATTTTAGATTCCGCACATTATACATTTTCGCTTTTAAAATTGCACAATCATGGGTCTAAGGAAAGGCATTTCGCTAGCAGCTTCTTGACTAAAAACACGAGAAACCAAACTCCCCGATTGACAAGTGATGATGAATCTAAATTCAGCGCCAACGAGAACTAAAATTTCTTTTCATTGATTTCTATTCATTGATTTTTGGAAAATATCTGATATTCATTGCATTATCGATACACATACATTAGCTCAAATCTAAACGTGGTGCATACATATATACTCGGAAAAAAGAATCTCAAGCTTGGGCGGGACGACCTAAATACACTCAGTTTGTCGTTGTCGCTGCTTTGCAGAACTAAATTACGATTTTAAAATGATATACGATAATCCACATAAACCCAGCATTATTTTACAACACTCATATGAAAAGCATACTAAACGTCCCAAAATCATTTTTAACAGCTTTGAGAAAACACTAAAGCTGTTTCATACAATATGACGTTGAAATAGCTTTTCGCTCATTTAAGATCAACCCCTAAAGCATTGTTAACTGGAAACTTAGATAACCAACAAAAACTGATCATGTGCAGGATTTCTAGTACAGGAATCACAAAAACAAACTCTTAATCTGGAAGCCATCACATAGTTATAAAAAACAGGGTAAGACGAAACTAATAGTATGAGTTGATGAGCCAATGCTCCATACAATAAATAATGTAACTTAGCAAAGTGAGAATTTTACGGACTGGGCTATGAACGACGATGTGCAATGAATCACGACACCACCCAGTTGTTCAAACCGAATTGTGTAAAAACACGATCTCAACTCAAGATGCACTATTCATATAGTGAGATAAGGTAATTCTTAATGGGCGATATTAGCTGAAGTAAGTTTGGGGAGGAAAGAAACCGTTGGTATATAGTGCAAGACAAACAGTCTGGCCATGTGTGACTCTTGCAGACTCCATTTGAGATGTTAAGAAGCAAATTCTCAGGACTTGGTGAAGTGGCTCACAGTTGGCCAAAGTAGTGAAGATGCATCCTTTTATTGCAGTAATCTTCGCACACTTCCTTCCCTCTTCATATATATCTTTGGTTAGTTTTCTGATAATTGTTCGGCGTATATCCTTTCTTGGTGTTTCTGAGAAGCGAAAGTCAATACGCATGTACTTTTACCAAGGGCTTTAAGTTCATCTGAAATTAAAAACCTGAATTATTAACCTCGATTTCGAAATATAAGTCAATAGCCACGGTTTCCGTCTCTTAAGCAACCATCAATCTTGACAAGTACTAGTTATCCACAACAAGTAACTTAAAAATTTATGACAACCCATAATGGTCCCACATACTTTTTTAGTTAACACAGTTTTCTTATCAATTAACCAAGACTATTTCAACAAAATAATATAAATTAAAAATCTAATATCACTGATAGATCACCAATAACTCTTTGCTTCTAACGATCTCTTTACCTCTCAATTCATCCACTTAACTGACAAGCTGTATCATGATCTGGAGTGGTATTACCATGATGACGATACGAGGCACAAGGCACATCTAAGTGGAATACCCTTGATAATCACCTTCCCCAGAGTACATTATCTTGCTAGAATAATGGAATGCATATTCGCTATGTTAGTTTATTCTTCATCCATCCGATGGAAAAATGATAGTACTGGATGAGAATTAAATTCTATAGGCAGTCATCCACATTGTTAAACACAATCCTTCTGATGGTATAATTGCTTGTATTATACCAGCTGACGAGTTTCAAATAGAGAGATATGCGCATCCTGGATTCCACTGCTAGCCACTATCCATCATTTAATCCTTCTGATAGCTGGGAATCAGATATAACACTCTTTGAATGGTCTTACTCATTGATTGTCCCAGTCTTCAAAAAAAGGATAGAAATCCTCCGGTGATAACCACAGGGTAATAAGTATGACGGGCATAGCACTTGAGATCCTACGTTCTGAGTGAAACGCGGGAACGACAATCCCAAGAAGATTATAAATGTTGTAGATCAGGTCATGGGAGTACTGACCAGATCCTCACTTACAGTGAAGTCTTGCAATACAAGAACACTTCATGGAAAATAAAACCAGCTATTTCTAAGGATAAGAAAGTTGCATTCAACTCTATTGATCGGAGGGTCCCATGGTAGTGTCCCTCACAATAAAGAATGCCAATTAAGTCTATATGACGAACAAGCGTGAGTGTTTCGGGGACTACGTCAGATCAGTAGGTACGTCAAGCTCTTCTGGGATGCTCATCACTAGAAAGGTTTACCTCTTGTCGTCTGACAAACGGTGATTCACCTTGTCAAAAGAGACTCCGTAATAGACCTAAAGTATGTGGATGATATGGTCGCCTTAACTGAAGACGCTCACAAAATAAAGTCTTATGAACACCTTAGGTGATAATATGAAAAAAGTTACAGATGAGTTTATCCCCACACAAATGTAAACTGTCCCTCAACGAATGATCTTCAGTGATCCCGCACACAATAAAACAGAGTGGAATCGTTGGTCGCGTTAACCACCTCACTCACCTGGAAAGTCAGACCAGCCCTCGTGTGTCAGGGACCAACGAAATATACACAGATACAAAAACTTCATTCAGCTTTCGCCGAATTATGCATTTATGACAACACTATGATATCTCACTGCCTAATAAGAGCCAGGTGCACTACACAGCAGTTCACGCCGTTCTACAATACGGCTGTATAACATAGCCATTAAATGAAGAGGATATGAGAAGGATTCAGGCGTTCGACCACCATTGACTTCGTAGCATAGGTCGTGTCATAGTGCAACCACGTCAGAAACGTGAAAGTCAGATGTAGAGTTTTGGGTATGAGATGGAAGTCGGTTGATGACGTTGTGAACCTTCATCATTTCAGGTGGCTGACATGTAGTACGCATGTCTAATCACCGTCTACCTCATCGCACAATATTGGCTGGAGTAGGTTCAGGCTGATGAGAAGTTAGAGATGAGCTGTAATATGACTGTAATTTGACATATGTTCACAAAATCTTTGATCGTCAGTCTGGAATGCGTGGAAGAACACAGACAAGTTGTTTGGGGTTGGTGCAGAAACAGGAACCAGTTATTGGAAACTTTAGGCGATATGATTCAGAATCGATCTCGAATTTCAGCATTCTTTCATTCCTCCTTCCTGCATTTTCACGACTTCCTACCACTTTTGACTCCCTTCTTCCTCATTTCTGCATATTTCATTTTTGGGCATTTTCGCCTGATGCGCAGATATGAAGTGTACCAACTTGGACACATTAATGTCACGTCCGATGTTGATGTTAACTGACTCATTGGTTTCTGAAGCGAAGGTCAAGAAGTAACAGTCAGTAGCCTACTTTGACTGGAAAGCTGGCCATAGTTACCGCTAGCTTGCTTAACAGTCAATTCTATCTTGATTACATTATTATTGTTACATATGGAGCTTTGTCTGAAAATATGAATTTTGTAATAAACCAAAAAATAAAACTATCAGATCCTAACGGTCTTTCTAATCAGCTTGAGATTTAGTTTTATTATATCCCTCTATGAATCTCTTGTGGTTAAGTTACCTGCCACGAATTGCTGTTCGTTAAAATCTCTTCGACGTGAATTTATTTCCAACTACGAATCAAGACCTTATGGTATGAAACCGAAAGTTTCAGAAAAAAGTGCTCAACGAAAAAATACCAACCTCCATGCTATATTCAAAGGTAGAAAAATCTTATGTACACGGAAGTAAAAAGAAATCAAAATGACAATATGAAAGAAAAGACTTATTCACAACCACAGAAGGTGAAAATTCACAGTACTAAAGAAGAAGATCCAAAATGCATTCTCCTTACTTTTCTGTGGTCATGGATGGTGGTGGTTCAACAGTTGATTCTTGCTCCATGCCATCCGAACTACATGTTGCTTGAAATATTCGAGAAATCAAAGAATGCAAAGCAACTCCACGGGGTTTGGATTTGTTTGCAACAGACATGCTCCGAAATCGTTTCGTTAGTTTATGCGATTCAGCTGGAGTGAGTTTAGACAACAGTGGGAGAGCATCTTTGTGAAAACCAGTCAAAAATGTAAGACGTTTGAATGGTTGACGAGCTCGACGCCGGGGGCTTGAAGTCACACACAAACGACGGGCAATTCGAAGGGTGACACTGGCAACAAATTGAAAGCTGACACTTGTACGTACTTTAGATGCAAGCATATAGGCAGTAGGATTATGAAGTCCTAAATCGTTGGGTTTTGTAGAATGGTCAAGCAAGACACTAGATGAGTTAGAACGAGGCTGAGATTCAGTTATTGAAGTATTAGACTTCGAAACATCCAGAACATGAGAATTGGAACTAGAAGCAGAGGTTGGATTGGAAGAAACTGACTCGGAAACCTTTTCTGTTAAAAAAGAAACAGAAACTAGATGTGAAAAGGTAAATAAGACAATGAAAATGAGTCTGATTTTTAAATATAACAATTAGTGTTGACAACTGAAAAAATAAAATTCAATTAGACTTTTGATATGCAATATCTAGTCACAGATATAGGGAAAACCAGAAGATGTACTCTGAATACTGACGTCGCACAACGACGTTTTTGTAAATTCCTCGAATTTTCCACATGAAGTTAGTATACATCAAAATATTCTTGACCACTTCTGTGTTTCTCAATTCAAGAACATAGATGCTAACACTTGAAATGCCAGTAACATGAACTGATGTGCTGTTATCAGATATACATAAATTACTCGACCAAATAGTGACATATACAAGGATATCAACAAGTACGTTTTACGTGCAAGTAACAAGTTCCGTTTAATAACTGATTCACATCTTGAGAATGCACCCTTTTCTGCTTAGGCATCGGTGCACATCCCCACCCGATGCCCTTTTCTTTTCGTTTACCATTTTGCATTCCTCTAAAGCAATACTTCTAAACCATACACCAGAAAGAGCAAAAACATAAGCTTCCTTTAAAGTTGCAATTTATCTGTAATATGATAGCGTGTAAAGTGGTGCAGTGTGCCGATCTATTCACTTACTTGAGTCATATCAGCTCGAATGGGCTAGTTGTTGACAAAATCACAGCTCAGATACAAAAGGTCCATTTGGAATTGGCCGACTGGCGTCGCCTGTATCCGACTAGTGAGACATCCGACTATCTATTAAAGGATGAGTATACTGCGTTGCAATCCGTTCTGTCCTGTTGCACTGCTGCGAGACATGACCATTGAAAGTAGACGACATGAAGCGATTACAGGGTTCTAATCACAGGTGTTTGTCTTAGTAGCACTGCTCACGATTGATAGAATCACCGTGTGAGGAATGTTGACGTCACGTGAAGAATACCAGGCAAGAAAGGCAATTCGATTGGTGAGGCTGTAAACCTTCATCGGCTGACGTGGCTTCAGCATATCTTGCGCATCCCAAGTCTCTGCCTACCTTAACGTGACATGCTAGGGGAAGTTGGATTAGGTTGGAAGAGGGTTCAGGGTGGCAAAACCAAGAAATGGCACTAGTGTATGAAGTCTCCCAGTGTTGATCTGAGACAAGTGGGGGATGCAGACTGTCTGGTTGGAGTCCCCGAGATTATATGAATCAGTGATTGAGAACTCTTGGTGACATGGCTGGAAATCGATCACAACGGCGCAGATATATTCATTCCTCAACGTCTTCTAAAGCTTGAATATTCGCAATAACCTTTATCATCAGATTCCTTATACTCTAGCACAACTTTGTCCCCTTCGATATCAACCAATCAATATCAACAGAGGACCAGGCATTACTTCATAACGGTACGAGTTGCCACAGCTCATATCAGTACATCAAGTAGAAAGGTAGTGAGGTGAAGGATGAAGATAAGAGAATGCAGTCAAAAAAATATAAAGTACGAGAAGAAAGAAAAGAGGAATGACAAAATGATGAGATTCGGTATAACGTCGTTAAGATGAGGATAATGTGTGTATACATCTGCGCCACTGACATCGGTTCTGAGTCATATCACCTAGAGTCTCTAACCACTGGTTCCTCTTGTCCAGCGGACCCCAACCACTTAGTCTGCATCGCCCTACATGGTTCAAATCAACAGCCAGAGACTTCATACATTGGTGCCATGTTTTAGTTTGGCCACCTCGGGCCTTTTACCAGCCTGAACCTACTTCGATATCACTCTTGTACTATCTACCCAGCTTTGTATACTACTAAGAAATGTGGCAACTTGAAACGATGAGGTTGTGTGAAAGGGTCTACCCTGATTCTATGTCTGTCATCTGTAATGTATATTACTTTCTTATGATAACACTATCTTCCCATAACCAACAATGAAATTACATTCTCTATCAAACACTTTATCCATCAATATGTCAAGAGTAAACTGAGGTGCTGGGTAACATTATGCACTGTGTACATTCAGTGTATCATATACCAGTGCATAAAAGGCATTCTCATAAACAGTACCTGACTCGTTAAGTAAACGTAAAGTACATAACATCTTGAAATCTGTTACAGAGCATTCTACGAAATCAAAAGTTTGTTCTGAAAATTCTTCAGAAATAGTACAGAAATCCTGACGGACTTATGCAAGAGGATATGAATAAGACATTCGTGCACAACATAAATGTTTTTATTCAACATATTTGCACTGCTACTGTACATTTATTAATAGAAATACATGCATACTGTATCCTTTTCATTTCTCCAAAAAATAATAAATACTTCAGCGAACAAGTGGGTTTTCAGCAGCTATATGTAGTCAGTATGCATGAAAATGTCACTATTTGTTAGTAGTTTGCGGTCATGAAAACAATATAGGAATAGAAATTAAGTAGGAAATATGAAAACATTGTAAAAACGTACACGTTCTTCGTTTAGTTCAGCTGAAAATTTCTCGTTGCTCTTGGTTGTATTGTGTTCTCTGAGCTGGGTTGTTGAATCGTGAAGCTTTCATCGTCCTTCTAGACGAAATCATTAGCACTAACTTCAGCATGAAGTGAGCTGTCAATATCTCCCCGTGAGTGGTTTAGTAGCTTGTCTTGACGAAGTGGTCTGTGATTGGTTGTTTTCTTAGATTGTTGTGTCATTGACTACATAGATTTTTCCGTTGGCTGTTCCTCTGCTTGACCTCTCTGTCGTTTATCATCTTTCTCATTGGTTGATAGATTGGGTCTATGTCTATACATCTGTTGATTGCTAACTGACCCGAATGGCAAGCTTCTAGGAATTCTCTGATATTTTTTATGTTTCCTCTGTCCAAAATTTCTACATTGTCGAAATTGAATTCATGTCCATAATTGTCCACATGCATTGAAATGAGTGATGAAACGTCGTAACGTTTAATAGCCAATTAGTGTTCATGCAGACGAAGGCGAAGAAAGACGATGACAGCTTCACGATTAAACAACCACCACCTAGGCTATCTTGTTAGCTAGCCTACCATTTACCAAAATAAGTGAAACAAATAATCACAGAATAATACAGTTTTAAGAAATAGAGTAGGTTGGGAATAAATACGCCCAAAATCAATTATGAACTATAGTACCTAGGGATCTAACTTCGAATTAAACTGAGCCGATTATAATACATATATCTAAATCAAAAGTGCATGACGTCATAAACTGGTTTGTTCGGTGTAAGACTGCACACACTTTACTTCTACTGGTCATTCTTAAGCTATGAGATGTCTAGTTACCAAAAATAGGATTACTACTTGCTGTGCACTCTTTATTTTTATTAGTAATATCGAGTAATAAGCTGGAATTAACACCAGAGAGAAACCATTATTATACAAAATACATCTTACCTGAAAGTGATGTTGTTTTTAAGTCTCCATATCGCTTCCAATAATTCCAACAATCGACACACACTTTCAGAGGTGATATTGATGGACCAAGAGCATACCATAGACTTGAAGTGAGATTAGAACAGCCCTCACATCCAGAAGTTGAGTTAACGGAATCAGACGTAACTGGGTAAAGAACAACTGGATTTGGTTTGTTGTAATTTGGAATGTACACCTGTTTTAAGTGATGTTCAGCCTCAATAGCCTTCATACGCTTTTGCTGAACGTAGTGATCAGTAGTTTTCCACATATAGTAGAACTCCACAAGACTCTAAATATGAAAAAGATAGATAATACGAATGAACGTTCGTCAAAGAATGAAAGACATTTTAATTGAACTTAAACTTCGGAATTATTATCTCTGAACATGTAAACAAATTGAGTAGTCAGAAACTACTCAAGCTGATCTGTAGATTCGGCCAGCCAGATCAGAGTGATCTTTCATTTGGGAGTGAGCATAGGAAGCCCGTGCCTGGATAAATTCAGTTCATAGAGTGGAATCAGTACAAGTCACCTGAATTTGGCTAACTTCGATGGATATAAAATAGGATTATCAATTACCAATAATTTAAAGTGGACCGTGCAATTTGTAAATCATTTGTGAACTGATAATCCTATTTTGTGTCGATCCAAGGTGGTTAGCCAGATTCAGGTGAATTGTACTGATTCGGCTGAATTTTAACGGGTAAGGGGCTCATGTGCTCAGTCCCAAACGTAAGAAACGGCCGTCCAGTGTTGAGATTACTCTGATCTGGCTGGCGAAATCTACACATCACCCTGAGTGGTTTCTAACTACTCAAGTTGTTCAATTGTAGTATATTTCGCTAGTTCATGACACTTTAGAATCAGAGATCACACCGTATGGCCTTGGTTGGGTGGATTTCAACGTGAACCCTGTTCCCACCATGGTTGAGCAGTTTCAAAACTACTCAGCTGTGAGAAATGTGAACGCGGACCATGAAATTTGTAAATCATTTGCAAATTGATCATCTTATATTTAAATTTTCTAGTAAAGTATGAGTAATATACACTTCATTTTTCAGACAAATCTTACGTTTGTCAGTTGGTGCGAACAGAAAATGACAGACATCCTCAAATCCCAGAGAAATACATATTCATTTTGAAAACTGGTTTTTTCGACTAAATGGGTCACCATACAAAAATCTGTTGTACACATGATATGAATTCACCGATCGGATTTGTAAAACTTCAACAAGCATTAAACATATCATCATAATAAAGTAATCCTAATGAAGTAATTAGTGTCATAAATATCAACACCAACCGACAACTAAATTACCTTAGGGTATTTCCATGGAAGGAAATCGTTTTGTATTTCATAAAAACACTTCCCATACTTTTCCAACGCTTCTTCGAAAAGATTTCCCTCACTGGCTGACCACTGTTCCATCTCATCCAGCTTTAAAATAGGTTGTCCATTTGGAGTCAACATTTGGAGTGCTTGAGAAATATTATAATTAGCGGAATGTAAAGTATCTAAAGCAAACTGGTGTGTGGTATCTCTGGCGGCTGCCGCTGCAGACATTGTAAGAGTAGGCTGACGAAGGATATGAGGTGGATAAAAAGCTCTGCCAAGAGTAGCCAAAGACCGAATCAAAAGGAGATATGAGTCCAGATCCGCAGGAGTTAAATCATTATCCGGTCGCCAAAGTAACTGCTCGTAAGTGCATTCATCTGGTGAATCTGAAATTTAAACGGATTTCCAAAAGAAAACATCAGTAATAACAATTCAAATAAGACATTATTAGCGAAAGCAGACAAACATCTTGGTCCAACATACCATAAAAAGTCAGAAATATCCTAGAAGTAGAAATTACATCTGCTTATCGAATCTGCAACCACCAAGTAATTTTTCTAATGCCTAACCCACCTCAAGATACAAACCTGGACTTAATAGAAAACAAGCAAAGCAGATTCACAACAATGAACATGTTACGGAAGAACACTTATAACATTCAACAAAAGCTTACCTTTTGGAGGATGATAAGGTTCAACATCTGCTTGATACTGAGGACCTTCTCGGATGGATCCTTGATCAGCCTGTAGGGTTTTTTGTAATGGGTCATAAACCAATTTGAAGAAAAAAGCATCATCTTTTAGCAGGTAGATATGGTAGGGTTCAGTTTCAGTATGCAATGTGACTGTGCATTTCCCACGGATATGTGTTGCAGGAAGAGTTTCCAGGTGCCGAGAGAGAAATAATTCACGATGATGTATCTTCCGAATAAAATCAAAAAAGAAATCGTTACCTGATGCAATACTTCCGGTTGTGCATCGCCACCAGAAGTTCCCAATTCCTCTATTGTAGCGTATCAAGGAAAATAATGGAACTTACTCTGATGCTTGTCAGCTAGTTGTATCAAATTTACTGACAGATCTCGACGTCTGTAAAAGCATACCACCTTGGCTTCTACTGCCCCAGTGGGAGTCTGACTAAATCAAATACAAATACAAAAGATCTAACTTTATTCAGTTCTTCAATTTTCCTGATCTGGTACGGTGAAGCTGCAGCAACTTCAAAGTAAACAAAATCTGAAATTAAAATAATAGAGTTATTTACTTCCAATAAACACCAAGAACTAAATAGGCCTAAAATAAAAATGAAGTAAAATCATACTGGGAAACCACTAATAAGAAGTACTTTAAACGAAGAACACAAAGCATATAAGAAAACAAAGGAGTATATCTGTTCAAGGATATAGTGGAATGACAAAAATAATTGTACATTGGTTCAAGCAACCATTACATCAACAGTGAGTCAATGAATCTTCTATAAAAAGGGTATTAGAATAAGAATTACGGTGTCAGTGAGATAAATCAAATAGGCAGAAAAGATAGAATAGAATGTTCAACATTTAGGGCAAAATAAGATCTCAACTAAAAACAATCTCGGACCATTTAGAGTGATATTTTACGTTGATTCACCTAATTTCTATAATCTTATCAAGAAACTTAAAGTTCCTTAAATCTTTGGAACCTACCACCACAAATTTTGTATCCCAGTCCCATTAAATTTCAATCTAAAAATCAACTCAGAGGTAGATTGTAGCTCAGAATGTTCAATATACCACTTAACCAATTAAATTGCAGCAGTTTCATAAGCTCAGTAACTGATACCTGGTACGTCTGCACTTAACATTCTTCACTTAGCATTCTGACCACAGGTAAATAATGCTCCTAAATCACAAATGGTCAAAAAGCCCAGAACCTCAGGATATGTTCCACTTTCGACAGTCATGACGAACGGTAGCATAGTGCAAAAGTATAATACTACTTTGTGTATTTATCAGTAAATAGTATTTAAATGTCTCAGCTGACCCAGAAAATGTTAAAGGAACCTTTCGTATTTGTACCAACATTTCCTTAGTCACCCAACACACAAGAATTCATGCATTCCCTTCTCCAATGTAATTTAAATAACCAACAACCGCAACCACTTTAATCCCTGAAATAGAAAAAGTTGAAGGGAGATTTGGAGTAACATTGTGTACTTCGGTAGTTTACGCGAGAATATCAAGCATCTGTAATTGTCGTCCAGTGCGTCTAAAAAAGAAAACTCGCCAATCAACCACTGTTAACTGCATACATCTGATCGACTTGGAATTTTTAAGCAACCGAATCAAATGAAATGTAACCTCGACATGTATTTTCATGCATGAGTTGAGTAAAAGCGAGAAATGAACACAGTCGTGGCACCATTCCAAACAACCACTTCAACTTACAACGCATCAAAAACTCTGATGACTACGACTTTCCAAGTAGAACGCTAAGGGAAACGTCACAGATTCATCAGACACCGCTTCCAAAAATACTAAGAAAACAACTGAGAGAAAAGCGAATACAAAATCAAGAAATTATCCTCTGTTGATTAACATTTACCAAGGGATTGAGACAGTTAATAAACTGCCACAAAAGAGCAGGTGTTGCAACTATTTAAAGTATATAAAAGTCAACTGAGTAGATCAGAAGACGGATATAATTTTGGCTATACTACTCCCAAAGATTAAAGTATTGCGGAGAATGTTAACACTTTGAGTACTGTTAATACTCTAAAGGATAGTAACCAAAATCCCTAGCAGAATGGACGAACACGATATCTACTCGCCACATGATACAACCAAAAAAGCGACCCAGCAGATTACCGTAATCTCTCAATCTATTCACTCCATGTAAACACAAACAGTCTCTATCATCTACTATAAATAAGCATGCATAATAATAATCAACCTTTTCACCAACTTCATGATGCAACAACGCTGATAGTCAGGGAATGGAAAATGAAGCAATATAAAGTTATTTCCAGTTCGTCAGTGAAAAAAATGCTAACTAAAATGAATAGTTGATTTACTCAATCACAAAAACTCAAAGCCACATTACGACTGTGCTTATAGCTTAGAGACAGACATTTCTAAATAATGTACCACAAAAGACAACCGCCAATTGCCAAAGATGAACACAAAAGAGCAACTAAATCAAATCGGAAATCCATAGAAATCATAGAGTGATTTGGACCAGACAAAACCCAAAATCTTAGCAAATGAACATCTTGATAGAATAGTTCACTGGATATAAATATGAATTTGAACACTCTAGCGGAATGTAATTCCATACTAGATTGATCTGTTTAGTACACCACCAGTACAACTTACAAGTAGGCCGATACCATAGTATACGCAAAATATGCCACATCTCACCACTTCACTCTTTATCCTTAGAAAAGGGTACACGGAGGAGTGAAGCAATGGTGAAGTTCGGTATGACAATGAAGATGATACATCCACGTCACTGAGGTTCATTCTCAGCTGTCACCTAGATTCATGAATCATCGATTTCTATTGTCACGCAGACCTCAATAGCGAATTCTGAATTTCCCTGCACGGTTCAGACTGTTGACCAAAGGCCATGTGAACTGATTCCATGTTTTAGTCTTGTCACTTGCTGCAAATAAACTTAAAAGACCATATAAACGGAGCCCAAATGTTTTGATGTGCAATTGGATATCTCTCCGATGTCACTCATGCCAAAAGTTAGTGAAGGTCAATTAGGCCTACGGTATCTGTGCCGAAATGTCAATCCCTGAGCCATCGGAGCTGATTGGACGTCTACACAAAGTGAGCAATCAAGAATTCCAAGACACTCATTTGCATTTAGACGGACATGAAAGGTAAGCTAGAAGCGTAGAATCTTGCACAGACGTGTTTCAGTTTGGGTTAAGATACTGCACAGTGGTATGCAAAGAAGAAATGAAAAGAAAGAGAGTAATTTTCAAGCAAATGAGAGTGTATAAAAGAGAGAATTAGAAATGTTTAAACGACCGAAGGTGTCAAAGAGCTATTGCCATCTCACCGAGTCTCCTACAATTGATTCCTAGTATTTCGAGGACCCCAGACAGACAGTTCACACCTCTCTATATTACTTCGACCAACAAACCGAGATTTCATGGACTGTTGCTATGTCTTCACAACCCTTAGTCTTCTTCCGGCCTAATTCTACTTCGACTCAGATTAGACGTTCAAGTAGGCGGTGACTCGGCATGCACAACACATGCCCAAGCCACCTCAGTCGGTGAAGGTTTACAACCTCTTGTCGACCGACTTGACTCCCTTACCTAGTATCCTTCGTCCAGCCTAGACATTGCTCACACGGGGATTCTAACATACGTGAACAATGCTGCGAAGACACCTGCGACCAAAAGCCTGCAAACTCTAACCATCTTTTTTCAGTGGCCAATTCTCATAGCTGTATAATGGGAAACAGTAGACTGCAGCGCAGTATGCTTTCCCTTGAGTAGGTGGTTGGATATCTCGCTAGTCGGCACCAGAGATGAAGTGAGTTGGGGAATGTTGAGTCAGCTCTTCGTATCCAAGCTATGATTTCGTCAGCAACGAACCCAGTTGCAATAACGCAACTTCCCAACTAAATTGATTGTTCATCACGTTCCACTACTTCACTCTTTATTGTTAACATGATCAAGAGTTGCTGTCATAACGTGATGGTCAGGCTTGCGTATCGCAGTGATCCGACGAGCTATGCCGATGAGAAAGTTGGTTCCTTGAGGTTCTGCTATGCTAATGAGGTCAGTTCGACAGTAGTACGACAGAAAACAACTTTCATTATGATGTAAAGCAGATGACATAGGACTGGGGCGCGGGGACGCATGTGACGCAACACCACAAGGTGTTTCCCGTGGAAGACCAGTACTCCATGCTGATGCTGCCTTCTCTATAGAACGACGTTAGGAAAGGTTGAGACCGCACTCCAGAAAACCACATGTCAGTGCTGATGGTATAGGCTGTACCGATGGATTCATTACCATCAAACCAGAATTTCAAAATTCAAAAAAGCTTTCTGTCCAACCCCAAGCAGACATCCCTTGAGCTTACACACAACTATTACTGAAACAATTCCCCTTCAGGCACCATAGTATGGACAGTGAGAAAATATTCGTTCTCGCATCTTTTTTATTTCACAAACTTCCTCGGATCATTATCACTCTTCCACAGTTACCCGAATTCTAATAATTCTTCACGGCTCTCAGTTAAGCTTCCTACATCATCACTATTTTTGTACCAGTTCTTGATAGGGACTTCAATAACGAAACAGCATCCCTGGTCTCCTGAAGCCGTGCTACAGACTACATATTGCAACTTTCAACGTTTGCACCCTCCATCAAGTCGGAGGATTAAAACTTCGGCATCTTGAGCCACTTAAGTGTTATTTGTGAAACACGCATATAGGATCGAAGCGTGGTTATGCACGTAACCTCACCCAGTTAATATTGTGATTCTGGCTAGTTCTCACACTCTTGTAGATAAAGGTATAGTAGTAAGCGCTACGGCAGAAAGTGCACTGCTTGGCTGGACCCCGTTTGAGTCACATATGTAATGTTTGACTAAACAATGCAGTGAAGACTAGAATGAACAGTGAAATTTGATGTTATCTCTTCGTAATCTCTGCTTATGTTCCTATTGACTACAGTTTGGATGAAGTGAAAGATTAAATCTACCCCAAACAGTTTAGTCTTCTAGGAAAAACCAAACAATAAGATATGATTGTCGTAGAAAGTGATTTCAGTGCACCAGTGCGTACGTTAAGTCAGGTATAAAGACACTTAGGTGGCACATTCGAAATTCCAGCCGAACAGACAGATAATGGCGACCACTTGCTAAAACTATGCCCACCTAACCATTTATTTCTGGTCTGCACAAACTTCAGACATAATCCGACGAGGTACCCATTAACCTCAACTCAGTGGTGCACACAGACAGGTGATAGTGATATCAGTCATCACCCAACCGACAGCTGCTACCTTGACGTGGTGGTCAGACTTGCGTATCACTATAACCCAACGAGCTACATTGACTGGAACGCTTGTTCTCTCGAGGTCCCACTATGCAACAAAGTTCTGTTGCATAGTGATTAAACGACAAGCAGTTACCGTTGCGTAAATTACTACACTCAGGGAAAAGCCATACTGCTGCAAGCCGTATAGGGAATGACGGCAGTAAGGTGTTTCCCCTGAACGACCAGCAGTCCTACGTTGATGCTGCCTTCCCTATGGGAAGGGAAGATTAGAAGAGATCGACCCCAAAAGTAGCACACTCCCAACCCCTTCTCGGCATGCTGATGCCTGCAATATGGACTGTAGTCAGGTTCGAAAGGAAAAAGTCGAAATCCCAAACTTGGTAAAAAGCAGTGTGTGACCCGCGTCAAGCAGATGTCCGATGGGTTCTGTGGTCACACAAATCTTTCAGGTACCTTAAAAAGAAATTACCTTCCAAGGTGTGGTCAGCCGCGAAGTGTCAACCGCCCACAAGCTTCCAGGAGTATGCAAGACCCAGTCAAACATAACATATCTTCCTCGACTCTGTCTCCTTCCTCTTTTGCCTTCACCTTCCGTTACTAATATTAAGACTTATTTACCTTCTCTAACCTCTCATTCTGCGACCAGCCTTCGAAACCTGATCTCTAGTCTCATGTAGGAACTTTCAACATCCGGACTCTATGCTGAAATGTTCAGCAATCATCGCTCGCCAAAACTGTAGATTCCCGAGCCGTGCTGTGTTTCTGAGACAGGTATACAGGACGCGAGTGTGGTTATTAAACTGACCTCATCTGACCAGTGTGGTGGGATCTTCAAAATTCACCTTAAGAGCGTCTGGAGAGCCACTGGCTAGCTGTCGTGAACTCGCTGGTGTAGGCATAACATTGAGCCGCAGGGTAGAAAGTGAGCTTCTCCATTGAATACCAGGCAACAGACGTCCATGTGCTGTTCGACTGAACGGATATGTAAGGACTAGGAAGGATTGTGAGACTAAGGGATGCCCATTCGTAATCTTTACGTATGCACCCACCGATCGCAGTTCGGGTGATGGAAAGTCTGAGTTCTATGAGAAGGTGTCAACCTTGCTACAGAGAATAAAACGTTCAGATGTAGTTACAGTGGTAGGTGACTTTGACGCTGAGGTAGGGAAGCTGAGCTGAGGTAATTGCAAAGGCATCCTCTGTGTATTTACGGAATCCCATGCGAGCGAACCGATAACGGTGATAGTCCGTTGCAATTTCATTCCTCAACGTCTTCTAAAGCTTGAATATTCGCATTAACCTTTATCATAAGATTTCTTTCACTCTAGCACAACTTTATCCACTTCGATATCACTCTTATACTATCCACCCATGTTTGTATACTACTATGAAGTGCCGCAACTTGAACCAAAGCACCTATGTGCCAGATTCTACGTTGAATCCGTCTGTCTGTCTTTATTAGTTACCGGTAGGGAAGATTAACACTCCTTCTAAAGCACGTTTTGGGATAGCACTTGAATGTCTGCACGTTAATAGATGTGGGAAAACTACAAAAATAAGATCATCGCGAGTGTTGCTTGACCATAGGATCACTGAGGTTAAATACAGCAAAAAAAAACTAGCTAGACAGTTATCGGGACTGAATAACATCAATCATCCATGAGAAGAATGGTGCCACCTCTAGCCTGCTAAAAAACAGCCTTGGAGACCGTAAACGACTATCACAAAGGAGTGATGAAGGGCCAGTGAACGGAAGTAGGTTTTTCTGAATTAATAGATAAATCTGAACGCATTTAGAGCACTATGATGAATGGAAGCAACTAAAATGTGCATTGATAGAAAGTCTACGCAATGACTATGAAGTGGTTGGCAGTTAAGGTTGAAGAGGTGGAAAAGGCAATGGCAACTGGTGACAGTAGACAGCCAACTAAATAGTGTAGAAAAGGGTGAAAATGTAACTGGTTAGTGAGACTATATGGGGTAAAGATGGGTCTGAGATTCATTCGCAGGGGAGACGACTAGAACGATTTAAGAAACACCTCGAAGAACAGTTCAACTGGCAACCAGCTACTGCTTCATTGTCCGCTACTCAGTCGGGAACGGAATACGACTACCAGGAATCAAGAAAGCTGTAAGTAATCTGAAATGAGGAAGGAGCAAATAGATTAGTATCACAGATATTTGAAAGCGGTGGTCGTGGGTTATTTGTCAGGTTAACTGAAGTATTAAATAGCGTAAGGGAGTCAAATATGATTCCCTCTAACTGGCCTAAATCAATGGTTGTCCGTCTTTAAGAAAAGCCAGAAATCCTATTGTGATAATCACAGAGGAATAAGCTTTACGGACACAATACCTAAGCTTCTAGGTTCTATGATCATTAGACATCTGAGTGGAGCTCACGAACAGCAAATCCGAGAAAACTAGGCAGGTCTCAGACCTGACCGCAGGTGCACCATCTAAATATTCAACCTCCCCCAGGTTCTAGAACACACGCATATTTACCAACGCCTGATTCCAGCTGCACTTCTCGACTCGAGGCAGAGACTCGACTTCGTCGACTGGTAATTCTCTCACTGAAAAGGGTCCCGAATAAGTATATCACTGTAAAAGGCTCGATACTACAACAGCCGTCATCATGCAACAGCCTACGGTGACTTATTAAGTGAGTTATATACGTCGAGTGATGCCCATCAAGAACGTCTACTCTCTCCACTCTTATTCAACCAAATCACAAAAGTACTAGTGGAGGTTTGCCTCTCATTCTCCCACTTTACAGGGATTCAACTTATCACAGGAGAAACTGAAGTAGATTGAGAGCATGTGGATGATATGGTCGCCTTAACTGAAGACGCTCACAAAATAAAGTCTTATGAACACCTTAGGTGATAATATGAAAAAAGTTACAGATGAGTTTATCCCCACACAAATGTAAACTGTCCCTCAACGAATGATCTTCAGTGATCCCGCACACAATAAAACAGAGTGGAATCGTTGGTCGCGTTAACCACCTCACTCACCTGGAAAGTCAGACCAGCCCTCGTGTGTCAGGGACCAACGAAATATACACAGATACAAAAACTTCATTCAGCTTTCGCCGAATTATGCATTTATGACAACACTATGATATCTCACTGCCTAATAAGAGCCAGGTGCACTACACAGCAGTTCACGCCGTTCTACAATACGGCTGTATAACATAGCCATTAAATGAAGAGGATATGAGAAGGATTCAGGCGTTCGACCACCATTGACTTCGTAGCATAGGTCGTGTCATAGTGCAACCACGTCAGAAACGTGAAAGTCAGATGTAGAGTTTTGGGTATGAGATGGAAGTCGGTTGATGACGTTGTGAACCTTCATCATTTCAGGTGGCTGACATGTAGTACGCATGTCTAATCACCGTCTACCTCATCGCACAATATTGGCTGGAGTAGGTTCAGGCTGATGAGAAGTTAGAGATGAGCTGTAATATGACTGTAATTTGACATATGTTCACAAAATCTTTGATCGTCAGTCTGGAATGCGTGGAAGAACACAGACAAGTTGTTTGGGGTTGGTGCAGAAACAGGAACCAGTTATTGGAAACTTTAGGCGATATGATTCAGAATCGATCTCGAATTTCAGCATTCTTTCATTCCTCCTTCCTGCATTTTCACGACTTCCTACCACTTTTGACTCCCTTCTTCCTCATTTCTGCATATTTCATTTTTGGGCATTTTCGCCTGATGCGCAGATATGAAGTGTACCAACTTGGACACATTAATGTCACGTCCGATGTTGATGTTAACTGACTCATTGGTTTCTGAAGCGAAGGTCAAGAAGTAACAGTCAGTAGCCTACTTTGACTGGAAAGCTGGCCATAGTTACCGCTAGCTTGCTTAACAGTCAATTCTATCTTGATTACATTATTATTGTTACATATGGAGCTTTGTCTGAAAATATGAATTTTGTAATAAACCAAAAAATAAAACTATCAGATCCTAACGGTCTTTCTAATCAGCTTGAGATTTAGTTTTATTATATCCCTCTATGAATCTCTTGTGGTTAAGTTACCTGCCACGAATTGCTGTTCGTTAAAATCTCTTCGACGTGAATTTATTTCCAACTACGAATCAAGACCTTATGGTATGAAACCGAAAGTTTCAGAAAAAAGTGCTCAACGAAAAAATACCAACCTCCATGCTATATTCAAAGGTAGAAAAATCTTATGTACACGGAAGTAAAAAGAAATCAAAATGACAATATGAAAGAAAAGACTTATTCACAACCACAGAAGGTGAAAATTCACAGTACTAAAGAAGAAGATCCAAAATGCATTCTCCTTACTTTTCTGTGGTCATGGATGGTGGTGGTTCAACAGTTGATTCTTGCTCCATGCCATCCGAACTACATGTTGCTTGAAATATTCGAGAAATCAAAGAATGCAAAGCAACTCCACGGGGTTTGGATTTGTTTGCAACAGACATGCTCCGAAATCGTTTCGTTAGTTTATGCGATTCAGCTGGAGTGAGTTTAGACAACAGTGGGAGAGCATCTTTGTGAAAACCAGTCAAAAATGTAAGACGTTTGAATGGTTGACGAGCTCGACGCCGGGGGCTTGAAGTCACACACAAACGACGGGCAATTCGAAGGGTGACACTGGCAACAAATTGAAAGCTGACACTTGTACGTACTTTAGATGCAAGCATATAGGCAGTAGGATTATGAAGTCCTAAATCGTTGGGTTTTGTAGAATGGTCAAGCAAGACACTAGATGAGTTAGAACGAGGCTGAGATTCAGTTATTGAAGTATTAGACTTCGAAACATCCAGAACATGAGAATTGGAACTAGAAGCAGAAGCTGCTTCTAAAAGCCTTGGCTTAGTCTGTGAATATGGAAATAGTAATCACTAGGTTTTAATTATCTACCACAAATTTTATCCTTCATTTCATCAACAACAGAAACACACTCAATTGATCTTGGATACAAAAAACTGCAGATAATTCTTGATGCCAATAAATTTCATCCTACCACATGTGCTTCTTAAACGCAATTTACTGTGGACAACCGTAACTAGATGTTGGAGCCTGCACAATTACAGATAGTACTACCAGAATCATCCTCAATAATGATCAACGTAGAGCAGTAGCAGCCTAAGACCACAGTTAGTGCCTGACTGAAGCTCGTGGATACGAAAAATATTAAAATTTGATGGGTTCTGAGTGTAAATGATCACATTATAGCTGTACACTAGGTTTTGAGATGCCAAAATGCTGGCAGCGGACAATATTAGTTGACCTGAATGTGAACACCTAACTGACAGGAAATTGGCACTGGTGTACAGATCTACAAGAGATTTCTTAAACACCAACGAAAATCGATGTTCATTTGGTGTGGGCTTCACACAATCCTGAAGTGTTAAGTATCGACGCCTAATTTAAGAGCAAAAGTAGTCATTGGTTCACCTATTCACTCATTTTAGATCCAACAGCTGTGACCGACAGAGACAGAGAGAACCAACACAGAACCTTGCAACAACGGCGACTGAACGGTCACTGAAGAAATCTTGACACAATCAATAGTAACTCAGTATGATGTTGGAGTGATATATGAATGTCTACTGGAAACGGGAGTGGAGCTTTTGGGAGAATACAGATGAAATTATTTGAAATGTCATTAAAAAATTATGGCTTCACTATTTGTAGTATCCTTAAGTTAGAAACTACGAATAGGTGTACATTCCTAACTGTTACACGTGCATTACAACATGACTACTTCAGATTACATCAAGCGTCCGGACAGAATGATAAAATAAACGTCCACACTTTAAAACTGTGTGAAGTTTCCGCAGTATTAATTATTATTCCACTCTCAATCAAAAGAGCTGCGCAACACTATTTTACATACTCTAAATTTAGACTGTAAAACGTCCAAATATTTTATTTAAACAAATAGTTGTTTTGGGATATAAATCTAACAGTCGCAAAAAGGAGTAATCCTCCAGCAATTGTCTATATTTTATCCTAAGCCTCTTCACAGAGTAAACGGAATAGGTAATGACTGAATTTTTGGAAAATTTTAAAATGCACTCATGTGCACGTTCGTGAAGTAGAAAATGAGCTACACCTATTGTGTGAGGGCTAATGATAATGCGCTGCTGCTGAAACCTAGGTAGGTGAAACGAGGCTGGAACTCATGACCCAACAGTTTGAAAACATCTTCCCAAGCCAGTGAGCCACAGCTCCATAGGTGATGATGACTGATATGAAAAGTGAAGCACAGTACATAGAACACAAAATAACACAAATGTGCACTTCCCAGTCCATAGAAATGTTTAGATGACCTTGATACACAATGGTAGTTAATAACGTCTTGTTGTGATGTCCCATTCCTACCATGTCGAGTAGTGCGAATCCTTTTCTCAATACAATGCGTTTCTTGGTGGGTTATATAACTATGCACTGAACAGGTTAATGTGCAGCGACTGAGTACCTAGGCATTGTAATCGTTAAGACCCATTATTTTGCATTCACAAGTTATGCTCTAAATTCCAAATACCGCAGTGGTATTCGCTAAACAAATGCCATACGACGTGCCAATAACTTAAAAAGAGCTTTTGTTTTATTACCGTATCTTGCATCATTATTAAACAGCTTAACACGAAGTGCAAAATAATGGAGCACCTTGTAACTCTACAGGATGTCTTTCGGATTTTGCCCTGTACAACCCAAAGCTGAACTTCACAAAACACATAAATTTGTGGACACGGAGATAATAAGTGTCACATCTCGTGCTATGCATTCATTCGAAAATCATGTTTTGAAATCACTAACAGTAGGTTATCCAGTGAAAGTAACGTGGTCTGACTAAGTGCGCTGAATATGTAAGGCACGTGAAAATCTCCAACAGTGACACAGCATCCAACTTAGCGGGTACTTGACACATACAAGATTCCATTGGTTGATACTCTGGTTAGTGCAGCCCAAACAATGCAACCAAGTCTCACATAAAGGTGCATCATCTCAAATGATTGAACTTACGATAGCTGTATGGTGGAACAAAAAGATGAAAACCGTTAAGTAAATAACATGAATAGTTCGGGGTGAAGCTACGGTGTCGGCCATCAATGCTGTGCAACTAAGACCTAAGCTTTAACTTAATCAACATCTGTAGTGGGGCTAAAACCAACAGGAACCTGAGCGGAATATAATTTCATAATGGGTATCTTGTTAACCCAGGAACAACAACATTTTTAGAGCTCTTAAGACTTATAATAAACGCCAGGACATCGATATCATCATATCCCCTGAGGATACAGAGTTTACAGAAAGAACTGAAAATCCAGGTTTGGTGTGAAACAGCTTAGGAGATTAAGGTGTTCCTAACCACAACACATAAGTCTGCATCTTGCGTTATTAAAAACTGAATATCATTATTATATGCTAGCATTAAATGTATGTTTGAGAACTGAAATCGCATTGGTTTTGAAGCTGCATGCAACTCACTTTGTGTTGGTTAGATACCAAAACAATCAAGAATATGACTCTAAGTGGACTTTAGAAATGATCCGCACTGACATTTGTCAGTCTTCTGAAAGACTAGTAAATTCATATAAAACTGAACCATTCTACACGTCACTACGTGTTTTCAATGGAAATAAGTGTATATACCTCAAACAGTTTTAACATACCCCAACTCTGTACATATTATTGGATGTCATGGTTGGAAATTAGCATAAAGGATCATATAAGCCAGAAGTCAAGGCCATCCGTCAGCTGCTATTTAATTCAACCGGCTAAATTCACCGGAAGCTCTTAAACACTCATTGATAGCATAATTCTCATCTCTATTAGAGCTATGAAATCCGCACAACTCCCAACTTTCAAACTTTCAGTCCTCAATACGAAGTGATGCCTGCTTTTCTCACATGACAGTTGTAAATAAGTGGTCAGAAACCACGGGTTAGTTAGAGTGAAAAGTACAGTATTCTGGAGTCACTTATTTGTGAGGCTTTGCGAAGGCACTTCCTCTCGGGTGGGTTAGTTGAATCCCAACATTTTTTCGAAAAAGGCATTTGTGTGTTGCAAGCCTGCCCATCTCAGTACACATCTGGACTAATACTACTGATTGATGAGGTACAGTCGATGCAATATATCTGCATTCACAGAAGCGTTCCATTGCATCCATCTCAGGCGTTCCTAAGCCAGCTAGTGAGCGGCAGAAATAAGCCTGGTGACCATCAGTCTCTTGCCGCCTACACTGGATGACTGTATAGTGTTCGAGTGAGTTAAGTCATATACAGAGGACGCACTGACATGAGCTGCAGAGCCATCGAAGCGTAGGCTCTTTACACAACCGTTCTGTTTCTGTCTCAGAAATTCCCGGCAGTGTATGACCATTACTTCCTCTCCCAAGAAAGTGACCTGAAAACGGCCAGGCCTAACGAGAAGCCATCACCAATTCCGCAACTGGAGTAGGGTCTAGTGGTTCACTCTTCTTCACCTGCATCAATCCGAAATTAAATATGGCCGTCATCCGATATCGTTGCTGGGTATTCGTCGCACCTACAAATCGGTGGTTCCCATAGGTCATGGCTTTTTGGTGGGACTTCTAGAATTTTATCCCGGAACGAAGCTCAATACAAAGGCCATTTCTCTATTAGACTAACGAACAGTGACATTTTTCAGTAATTAACTGCTAGAGCCGTTATCTTTCTCGGTGGTATGGAGTTTATTAGAAATGGTTTATCGTGATGAGATTCTAGCTTTGAAGTATGACATCCCTGAACTTCAAAGTGGATAGGTAATAATAAATTTGCTTTCAACTCTGGCAAACAATGGGAAGTGCTTTTGGCCGATTAATTCTTTAGTTTTTCCTTCTTTGCCGGTCATGTCATTATCGAAGTTGTCATATCATGCAAGCTTCGAGATGTAAAACCAGAAATTCTAGTTGCCCAATTGCTTGCAAAATTCAGAAAAGTTATTCAGTTGGAGACCAGATGTTTCCAGCAGACCATCAGTAAGCTCATACGAATCTACTTAGAACTCACTACTGGCATCCTGCATCTCCTCACCAACATCCTTTGCTGTAGAACAATAAATTTCCTTGGTCCTCTTACTGTCTTCTCAATGCAATCACTTCACACGCACAACCTTTGGAGTAACAAGGACTTCAAGTGAAGAATTATGCAGGTTTAGCTGCAATGGAAAGATTGGCTGAAACTGATGCTTACTGATGACGCATTAGATATGGCCAGCAGACTGGGTACAATATTCACTGTAGGCATCACAAATCCGTTCGAAAGTTTCTGTTCTCTGTGCAAGTCCTCGTAGAAAGGATGGTAGTGAGAATTCACAGGGCACGTCACCGGTTGACGGAAGAAGAACCCCAGATGGTGTTGAAGAAGCTTCGAGGATGGTCACCTCGAAATAAAAATGAAAAACGAAACGTAACCATCGAAGCCTCAGTTCAAAACATAAAGTACCAAGATGAAACCACATTTTTCGAGTGAGCGAGGATTTAAGCAGAGTAACAGAAAATACTCCCTCCGACGGCTGCTTTAAACACAAAGGACTATATCAAATAGATACCTCTGAAATGATAAGTTTGCATCAAGGGTTGTCGCCAGGGAAAATGACCTGTCCTGGACTGCCTCATTCTCCAATCATTCACAGTAAAACTAGCAGACCAAACCTATCCTCCCTACGTTTCGGATAATCTGGCGGTCTATTTTTCATAAATTCGTCCCCTCACTTTCATCGAAATAGATCTAGTTTCATGCAGGGGTTTAGCAAGGATGTAGCCGCTTGTATCTGCAGTCACCATTGAATCTTCAATTTAGATCCAATTTCGTCGATAGAGATATTGATTACGTTGCCATACGATGCCACTTTAGCCACCTGAAGTCGTAGTCATATTCGTCCTTCTTACTAGGGAATTCACTTCTTCTTCACTGTCACAAACCCCTGTCAATATCACAACTCACTTGAATCCTGTTTTGAACTTAGTGTGTTGACGTCAAACCATTTGAAACTGACCAGCGATATCTGTCCCTAAGCTGATGTTACTGAGTTGCTTTTCTTCTGGTTAATATGCATACCGAACTGTCGAAAGAGCTTATCACCGGTCAACCAATACTCCGGAAAGAAGCTGTCCACAAGAAGCAGACAATCTTGGAGGCAGACTGTAAATAATGGATGAAGCATCCTGGTCACTGACATATTTGCTGAGACTGTCCATTCTGTCACAAGTCACCTTGTTTGTCCATAAGCACTGGTTACCAAAATGAAACGCCTTTCAAAAGGTTCGTTCAATCATATCCTAGACCTGAAGGTCAGTGGGGAATTGATGTTTGTCAAGTGGTCACCACAGCATTCAAAAACTGGAGTCCATTATGCAATCCAAAGACACTGGCATCAACTTCAGCACAAACGAGAACTCTGTAGCACTCTGAAATACCTGTAAAGATGGACAATGAAGCGTCAGCAAAGTATCAATCACGTCAATCTAATCTAAGAACTTTTGCCTGGAAATGTGGGTTTGTGGGATGATTCCTTATTGACAGTTAGACTCAACCCTTGATAGGGATTTTAGTAATGAGTAAAATGCTTGCTTTAGATGTGCCCGCCACATCATTTCACTGTCCCTCAGAAATTGAAATAACGCCGAATCTAGGGTTTCCATCTTTCCTCGTGAATATAAGATTCAGGCGGATGACAAAAACCTATTGGAGAGCCATGGAAGAGCGTTATACCCCGCTAAACAAACAGTAGTACTGAACTGGTTTGCAGTCACTCCCCTTCCCGGATTTCGTTGAAGTATTCTCATGATAAACCCGACGTCGTATGAAATCCTTCTGTTAGGAGAGCTTCTAATCTTACTTTCAGTTTTCTTCATTTCCACTCATTTAGACACTGGGTCAATTTTCGTCAGTCCGCGGTGTGGCTCCGGCTTCAAAATTTAGGCGGTAAAAGTATGTGCTGCAGTTACGGTAGCAAATGACAACAAACATTATTATCCTTCCTTATTTGTTATCAAGGATTGTCGATTAACATATCTTTTGCGGGCACAACCATCTGGAACACCATCCGTTATTACGATCACTTTTTATCTGGGACATATTTGACAAACAAAAGAACAATTTTGCCTCGAGTGAAAATGGCTTCTAGAACTTCTGAATCAGGAGGATTTTCACCAAGCCTGAAGAATTTAACCGATACGTTACAGCTCTGCATTCCTCTTGTGTTCCACTGGACAATTTTGTTAACTTTTATACCCCGTGTCCGCCCAATTTCGTACGGTCCTGACATTAAGACAGATTTTGTTTTCCTTACTATTCTTCTGAAGTCCTTCAAACGGTCAGTTTCATGGTTAAATCTGGCAAAATTATAGGTACAGCTGAAAACGTCACCGAAAGTTTTTGACAGCTACGACTCCAAAGTTGGCTGGTGATGTAAGTTCATGGGTAACCACTTAATCCAAGTTCTTTTGTTTATCTACTCTGAACAACACCAGAAGCAAGTTCTCGAAAACAGTCGCGCAGAAAGCCGTTTGCTATTCTCGTGACTGTGTGTTGTCAGCTGTAGGCGAATCCATTGGAACACTTAGGTCAACGTGTTGCAGCAGCCTATCCTAATCAGTATGGAAGTTTCTAGAGTTGAAAATAGTCTGGAAACGTGAGGATGGAAGACCCAATCGTTTGCAGCAGAGAAGCGGACCTTAGAAAGTACTCTGATGTGTTCCTCTCATTTCCTGTCAACACAAAAAGCGAACGCCGCTAGAACATTCCTCTTGCTGGCGACAGCCCAATCACCTCTTGGAGTGATAAGATTTGGAAGACATCAATAGGCAGTGGATACTTTTGTCGCTGCGCCTCCAAGGACACACTATCCTCAAAACACCGCGGAGCGGCACTTCGAATCATCGTAACCAACAAATTAATGGACATTCCAGACAGCTATTATCTCCCCAACATCGGTTAACTCACTGGATATCACAGTCACACATCGAGTCATTGATGAGCATGGCCACGCGAAAACTTGCTGCAATTCACGGGACGGGCACGAATTCACCACCTGCTATCATATAAATAGGACCAAGAGCGTGCAGTGTCCAAAGTTTGCGTTATAACCAGCCGACACTGTTAGTCCACCTGCATAGCTTCTTATTTAGTAATATAACCGTCTATTTATTGGAAAGTCATACAGTCCTTAGCTTCGTTAACCACGAAGGACCCACGTATGTTATCTGGAGTATCAGCAAGTTTCCACGGCTTATAACGAAGGTGAGTATCTAAATCAATTAATTTCCAGTTCACTATGTCACATTCGAAGGTGATATGGATCAACACCACTGGAAACACTCGTTATAATGCATAGAAATGGACATTAGAACGGCCAGTCATCTGAAATCCGAGCTTCTTATCTTGACTGAGAGAATCCCCGAACTACTTACTTGGGGTGCGGCCAGGGCTAGTGCTCCTTCCCGCAAAGCTGTTGCGCGGAGTTTGTTTGGTCCCGGAGAGGTTTGTTTTGTAGAAGTGGCAGTATGCGCTGTACTAACTCAGCGCCTAAATCAACGACAGAGTCTCAATTGGCCAGTGGTACATTTGCAAACTCTTAGGCAGGTAGTCAGTGATGGAGAGACTAATAAATACCTCTCAGTCAGAAGTTGGAGCACCTTGGCATCAAAAGTAAAGTAGACTGGCTGTTGTCAAGCGTA